TACTTGAAACGGTGGATTGATCTGTCAGGGGGAGAGAAGTCGTACGATGGATTGATGGATTTAGTGCTCATGGAACAATACATGAATGCGTGTGATAAGAGTATGATTCTATTCTTAAAAGAACATGAAGTTAAGAATTTTGAAGATCTAATTAAATATGCAGAATTGTATGTTGAAGCGCACGGTAATCCGAGCAAGAAATTTGTTGAACGAGAGGTTAGAGTTGTGAAGGAAATGTCGCACATCGAGTCTAAAGTTCAGGATGCGTCAAGTGCAGGAGTGTCTGGTGTTCATAAGGGTCAGTTTCGTAAATGCTTTGTGTGTGGGTGGTTCGAATCATTTGTCGCGTGATTGTTTCTATAAGTATGGTGCGAAACCTAAGGATAGATCTGCGAAAGGCAAGGGTGAGAGTATGGCTGCTTTTGCTGCTAAGCATGGAAGGTTGAATGTTGCAAGAGGTGAGGTCGAAGGTGTAGCTGTGAATGTGTTGCGAGATCAAGGGTGTGATACTGTTTTGGTTAAAACTAGTCTAGTGCCGAGGTGCAGATTTACAGGTAGACATGTAAGTGTTAAAATGGCAAATGGCATGATTTTCACCTATCCTGAAGCTAATGTTCGAGTGAAGTGTCCATTCTATGTCGGAGGTACTTTGGCTGTTTTGGAAAATCCCGTGTATGATTTGGTGATAGGTCAGGTGGAAGGTGTTAGAGACGGAGAAACTGTCAAATTAGGAGCCGTAACGACTCGACAGCAAGAAAAGCAGAGTAAAATCAAATTAGCTCCAAAGCTAAAGGTAAAGGAAGTGCTTGCTGAAATGAAAGATAATAATTTAGCTGAACAACAAAAGTATGATGTAACATTAAATAACATACGAAAATACGCGGAAAGTAAAAGGAGATTTCAGAAGTCTGATAATGAATATCATGAATTTATAGTAAAGAAAGGAATTTTGTACAGGAGGGTAGTTCACGCAGATAATGTCACTGAACAATTAGTTGTCCCGAGCGAGTCGAGGAATGCAGTTATGGAGATAGCCCATAGTTCACTGATGTCAGGTCACTTGGGAATAAAGAAAACGCTCACGAGAATTCAAAATAAATTCTTTTGGCCCGGTATGTCGTCTGAGGTGGCCAGGTTTTGTCGGTCATGCGATCCATGCCAGCGCACCGTTGACAAGGGAAGAGTGTCACGCGCGAAACTAGGCAGAATGCCGATGATCACCGAACCATTTCAGAGAGTGGCTGTAGATATCGTCGGACCCATCGAACCGCGCGCAGATGACGGGTCGCGCTACATCCTCACTATTGTAGACTACGCCACACGCTATCCCGAAGCCATCCCGCTAAAGAATGTGGAAACCGTGAGTGTCGCGGAAGCGTTAATGTCTGTTTTCAGCAGAGTCGGAATACCCAAGGAGATCATGAGCGATAAGGGGAGTCAGTTCCGGTCAGATGTGATGAAGGAATTTAATAGGTTGCTATCGATAAAGGGTATTAGCACGACACCGTACCATGCAATGTGCAATGGATTAGTAGAACGGTTTAACGGGGTGCTAAAGAAAATGTTAAAAAGAATGTGCGCAGAGCAACCGAAACAATGGCCTAGATATATTGCTCCGTTACTATTTGCCTATCGTGATGTTCCCCAGGCCAGCACCAAGTTTTCACCTTTCGAACTCATCTATGGCCATACCGTTCGAGGGCCACTTAGCTTGTTGAAGGACCTGTGGGAAGCGAGCGAGCGAAATATCACGGACGAAACTAGGACCGCATACGAATATGTAATCAATTTGCGAGAGAGACTAGCGGAGACCTGCAAAGTAGCCCAGGAAGAATTGCAGAAAGCAGGTGATTCCTACCAGTATTATTATGACAGGAAAGCAAAAGATAGATACTTAAAGGAAGGCGATAAGGCTTTGCTGTTACTGCCTACTAATAGTAATAAGTTACTAATGCATTGGCGAGGTCCGTTCACTGTAGTAAAGAAAATAAATAAATGGAATTACATGATAAATGTAAACGGAGTTGATAAGAAATTCCACATTAACATGCTCAAACGCTACTACGAACGGGCGAATGCGAGACCGAACGAACCGGATGACGTCATGGTAGACGGTGACGAAGGAGTGACGGTGGCGAGCGTCGCGGTCATTCACAATGAGGAAAGCGATGCCGATGTAGACGTAGTTCCTAACTATGTACAAACTGAGGATGTCAATGATGTTCATGTAAATAACGATCTTACAGAACGACAAAAGACCGATGTCAGAGGGATTTTAAATAAATTTAAATCTATTTTCACCGACGTCCCAGGTAAGACGAATGTGATTGAACACAAGGTGAAACTTTGTGAAGAAAAACCCATAAGGAGCAAACCATACCCAGTTCCGTTTGCGTTACAGAAGGGCATAGAGGAAGAAATAGAGCGTATGCTAAGACTCGGTTTGGTCGAGTATTCCATGTCTCCATATTCTACGCCGATGATCGCGGTGAAGAAGAAAGATGGTTCAAATCGTTTGTGTCTAGATTTTAGGAAAATAAATAAGATCACTGTATTTGATGCTGAACCGATGCCGAATCAAGATGCAATCATGGCTAAGATTTCACACAGCAAAATTTTTTCAAAAATTGATTTATCTAAGGGATACTGGCAATTACCGCTGGACAAAGATAGCCGCAAAGTAACAGCATTTCAAACTAGTAAGGGATTGCTGCAGTTTACGGTTATGCCTTTCGGTTTAGTAAATGCTAGTGCTACATTTAATAGATTAATGAGAATCTTATTTAGCGATGTTGCGAATGTAGAGACGTTTGTGGATGACATACTCCTCCATACCGATAATTGGCAAGATCACATAATAACTTTAGAGTGCGTGTTGGCGATACTTAAAGATGCGGGATTGACAGCGCGTCCGTGTAAAACCGAGATTGGAAAGTCAAGCATCGAGTACTTGGGGCACTGCGTGGGGAGTGGCACTTCGTCTACCACTGGCGATAAAATAAAACGTGTCCTCAACATGGCGGTACCGCGTACGAAGAAGGAAGTCCGATCTTTTCTCGGGTTGACGGGCTATTACCGGCAGTACATAGCTGACTACGCAACGATTGCATCACCTCTTACTGATCTCACAAGGAAATCCGTACCGAATAAAGTGTCATGGGAGATTTGTCATCAAGATGCTTTCGATAGATTAAGGAATGCTCTTGCTAGTAAGCCTATATTGAAACTTCCTGACATGAATAAAGAGTTCATAGTGCAGACAGATGCGTCAGACATAGGGTTGGGCGCAGTGTTACTACAGGTTTGGGAGAACGAACGATGGCCAGTCATGTATGCCAGTCGTAAACTTAAGACGGAGGAAAGGAATTACAGTATAATAGAGAAGGAATGTCTTGCAATCATTTGGTCTTTAAAGAAATTCTATCAGTATCTTTACGGCAGACATTTTGTAATTGAAACAGATCATCAGCCTCTTAAATTTCAAACATCTGTCAATTGAATGCAAGGTTGATGCGATGGGCGATATATTTGCAGCAGTTTAGATTTAGCGTGAGAAACATAAAAGGCGTTGACAATGTTGGTGCCGATTGTCTGAGCAGATTAGGACACTGAGATGGATTTTTAAGAAATTGCAATTTCTTATTTTTGCGGGGAGGTAATTGTCATGCCATCTCATGTGCTAATCTGGAAATAGGTAATTAGTGTAACGACAGTTTGCGGGCGTGACGTCACCGTTGCCTGGGGCAAGGTTGGGTAGTTGTCTTGGTAGGCCCAAGCAAGGTGAACGCTCTTTTTAGCAGAGGCCGTCACGGTAATTGGACGGTGTGGTGTGGTAGTCCCGAGCTGTGGGCCACACTAATATCACGTCGGCTACTGACATTTTATAATTTAAACTATAAGAACTGTGGGCTGCTATTTCAAGCTCTACTACTGACATTGCATGATCAAGCATGAAGATTGAAGATGCTGATCCAGAATATATGTGTGCGATATGAAATATTATATATAAATCGGTGATATAACAGTTATCAGTGAAGTAGTTTGAAAATGAACATTATAGCCCTGTGAACAATTAATTTTCCTTGCGTGTTTTTTTTTTTTTTTTTTTAGCTTCGTGTTTATTTAAATTATATATACATTTGTTCTAGTATAATAAATACTAAATAATATGAAGTCTTTCTGTACAACCCATTAATTACAAATTCCTCTCATTCAAAAAACAGTGTCTTAACTGTGCCGGCAAACCCTCAATTGTAACAATCACCATCCTCACACCCACCCCAGTCTTCAGGAGAGATGTCACTGCCACAACACCCTCGCACTTGACGTCAAGTCCGATAGCTATGCAGGGCAGCAGCAGCATTCGTCGGTGGAAGCTTTTCTGGAAGGACATATCCTGCAGAGGTCGTCCCTTTCATCTGGAACTTCGCCACACGTGCAGAGTTGAAGTTTGTTGATGCTGTGCACCCATATATCTCAGGAAGTGCATTCTCTCCTGCCTTTTAGATTCTCTCGTTCGGGGAGTGTAGAGACATGAAGATCGAGGTTGCCTTTTGCATTGCTACATACTTTGAGAGGACAGTCCCTTTGCACGCTGTCCTAGCTGCCATCTGGCGGTCCGTTCCCGTTCCCCCTGACCTGGTGAGGGGTAAGGTCATCCCTCTCTGCAAGGGGAAGGGGGACCGATGGGACTGCAGCAATCACCGAGGCGTCACACTGCTCAGTGTACCAGGCAAGGTTCTCGCCCCCATCCTTCTGAGACGGATCAGAGACCACCTACTGAGGCATCAGAGGCCGGAGCAATCTGGATCCACTCCCGGGAAGTCCACAATAGACCGGATCATTGCGCTTCGAGTCACTGGAGAACGTTGTCGTGCCACGTTCACTTTCTTATCCGGCTTCGCTTTTTCCTTCTGTTTTCAGCTCGGTCTTTGAGCTTTCCTTCTCTTTCACAAGATCAATATTCATAAATACAAATATCCGAAAGTGTGCATCTGTGTGTGTGTGTGTGTGCGTGTGTGTGTGTGCGCGTGTGTGTGTGTGTGGTGTGTGTGTGTGTGTGTGTGCGTGTGCGTGTGCGTGTGCGTGTGGTGTGTGCGTGTGTGTGTGTGTGTGTGTGTAAGTAAGTGTGTGAGTGTGTGTGTGTGTGTGTGTGTGTGTGTGGTGTGTTGCATGTATATATACGGCTATTAAAGTGCTGCGGAAACTGCATTATGTTTTTTTTTCACCAATAGTTTGATGCGCTTCAATTGCTGTTAAGAAGCAAACACGATTATTAAGCTATTAAGCTATATTTGCAAATAAAAAACAAACCGTTAAACTTAAAAAAAAAAAAAAAAAAAAAAAAAAAACACGATACCTTTTGAGCTGTATTTGCAAATAGAAAAAATACAGAAAATAGAGTTTTAGAAAAGTAGAAAGAAACCTTTACATAACGACAGCAACCCCTGCAAAATCACAATCCTACCAGAGAGAAGAGGGGATCCAGCAGCCACGCCCCAGCCGGCCTAAGGTCGCCCTCCTCACCCGCGCTTCCTCGCTTGCCAAAAGTAATTACAACTTGCTGTGAGTCTTTCCTCATCAGCAAGTGAGAGACGGCGGTCGGGTCGAGGCTCATTAGCAAAAGCAAGTCATAGTTGTTGTTTTTTAAGAGAATGGATGAAGGGGTAGAGTAAAAAGGTAATTCAATTAGGGATTTCACGAACTTGGTGAGCTAATTTATTGGAAGAATCTTTTTTTTTTTCAAAGCTCTTCTGTACAAACACACAAAGTTCCTGCCAAGTTTCGCGGTAAAATGGCGAGAACTTTGAAGACACCAAAATTAAATGCGTCACGTGTTTGGAAGGTTATGAGTAGTTACATTTCCTTCATCTGACCTTATTCGGAAAGCAGCATAGCACAGTAGAGATTAATGGCTTGAAAAGACTACTAAGAACCCTTTAATATTTTTTTGTTAATCTCCTTTTTACTCTCTCTTCTTCAAATTTTATTTTTCTTCTTCTTCTGAGCCCATTAATATCCATCATCAATATATGTGATGTGTTTATAATTTGCTATATTTATATATATATAAAAAATTCCATCAAGAAAAAAGAGATAAAGAAGGGATGAGAGATAGGGAGAAGAGAAAGGGGTTGGAGTAAGGAATGTGACAAACACACACACACACACACACACACACACAACGCGCGCGCGCGCGCGCGAGAGAGAGAGAGAGAGAGAGAGAGAGATGTGGGGCCAATATAAGAAGTAGACTTGTAACATCCAAGTCCGCTCCCCTTCTACGGTACTACGAGAAAAGGAGGTAGGGACTTCTTTCATCACAGCCTGTCCAATGACTGCGCTTCTGATGGTACTGCACTCGTCTCGCATGGTATAGAAGACGTTTTGCTAATTGAGGACTCCATGCGATGAAAGTACAGGTCTTCTTCGTCTTACAAATTCCTTTCTTTTCCTATTTTAACTCTCCGTTATTTCACTCTCTCCCCTCTCTCCTTCCCCTCCTCCCTGTAATAACAGCAACTCCTTATTTGTAATTTAACAAATCGGCAACATTTAGGTTATTCATGGTATGAAGGGAAACTCTCTACTTCACTTACGGTCATCATCGCTAAAAACATCGTTAACACAGCATGACTTAACGGTTTTACATCTTATCATCATTCTATATAGTCACGGATATATGATAAAGATGATATTCATGCTGAAAATCATGATAATATAAAGATATTAAAGCTTCAGTGACAGAATTTTAGAAAATGACACTGGGAAAACGAGAAATCAAGTTCATATCAGTTAGAAAACAAAACGAATAATTGAAGAAAGAAAAGAATTTTAAAACGATTATTGTTTTTTGCCGAAATCTATTGGAGGCCATTTAGACAAAGGAAAAGTATTATAAACACATTTAATAAAGGAAATAACTTAAAAGTCCATTTAGGGAAAAGAAAAAAAAAGAGGTCATGCCAGATTATTTATTTTTCCATGTTCTGACTTGTGTACCTTACACTTTGTTCTTAATATTTCGTTTTGCTTTTATTCTCTCTCTCTCTCTCTCTCTCTCTCTCTCTCTCTCTCTCTCTCTCTCTCTCTCTCTCTCTCTCTCTCTCTCTCCTCTCTCTCCTCTCTCTCTTCTCTCCTCTCGCTCTCTCTCCTCTCTCTCTCGCTCTCTCTCTTCCCTCGCTCTCTCTCCTCTCTGCTGGCGCTGCTGGCGCAGCGGTAAGGTGCTGGTCTAGCAATCTTGCGGACCTGCGTTCAATCCCACGCTGGCAGTGAGTGGTGTCCCGGCCACTCCTTGCACACAGGGGGAGATTTGGGCAAAATAAAACAGACAGTATGTCACAACAGAGAATATCCATTGTAACAAATGGAATGAAAACTAAATCTTAAATCTTAAAATCTCTCTCTCTCTCTCTCTCTCTCTCTCTCTCTCCTCTCTCCTCTCTCTCTCTCTCTCTCTCTCTCTCTCTCTCTCTCTTCTCCTCCTTCTTTCTTTCTTTT